ATGTAAGACTCGCAAAGCGATCCTACAATCTCGTTCTAACCGACAGGTAGGAAACGCTCCACGTTTCCGACCAGGTACAAATTCCTCTGCTGTTAACAACGGTCAGCGAGGAACAAATTCTACATTCGTACCCGTAGGTCCAAATATCACCCCTGCTTCAAATGTTTCATCTGTACCTACTCCCCTCGCTGCTAACAATGTTCAGCGAGTTAATGGAGCTACCTATGCTGCTATTGCAGCGGGTAGAAATCAAAATACTAACCAACGTTCTAACGGAAATTTTGACAATTTTGACTTAGGAAGCATTACTGCCCCTAAAATGGAATTTTTACAGAATTCATTAATTGACATGATTTCTGATATGCTTAAATCTAACTCCATGTTTGATGCTATTCAAACTGGAGTAAAATTTGCTAATAATATTGTCATGACTTTAAAATTCAGTAATGGATTTTAAAGCATTAAACATTTTAAATTGGAATGCTCGATCTCTTAAAGATTATGAAGACGAGCTATTTAATTTTTTGAGAGTTCATAACGTGCATATTGCCGTTATAACTGAAACGTTCCTTAAACCTGACCATAAGGTTAAGAAGGACGCAAATTACTTGATTTATAGAAATGATCATCTTGATGGACCCTGTGGTGGCGTTGCCATCATTATTCATAGACGAATCAAGCATAAAATTCTTTCCTCATTTGAAACCAAAGTTTTTGAAACTTCTGGAGTTTCTGTTGAAACAAAATTTGGACAACTTACGTTTATAGCTGCCTATTTGCCATTCCAATGCGTAGGCCAGCAAAAGAATTTTCTCAAGGGTGACCTCCAGAAACTTACCCGTCATAGGTCTAAATTCTTTATTATTGGTGATTTTAATGCAAAACACCGTTCATGGAATAATGCTCAAAGCAATTCCAATGGTAATATTCTGTTTGATGATTGTTCTGCAGGTTATTACACTATTCAATATCCAAACAGCCCAACATGCTTTTCTTCTGCAAGAAATCCCTCAACTATTGATTTGGTCTTAACTGATTCATGTCATCTTTGTAGCCAATTGGTTACCCATGCTGACTTCGGTTCTGATCACCTTCCAGTAACTTTTGAAATATCCCAAGAAATAATTTCTAATCCCAACAGCTTTACTTTCAATTACCATAGGGCTGATTGGGAGCAATATCGAACATTTATGGAATATAACTTCGATCCAAACATTCCTTTGCAAACCAAAGATGAAATTAATTATGCTCTTGAATCTCTGACTACTTCTATAGTTGAAGCAAGAGCTGCCTCAGTACCAAAATGCGAGGTTAAATTCGATTCAATTATGATAGACGATGATCTTCAGCTCTTGATCCGTCTTAAAAATGTCCGTAGGAGACAATTTCAAAGAACACGCGATCCTGCCATGAAAGTTATCTGGCGGGATATGCAAAAACAAATTAAAAAGCGATTCTCTGCCCTGAGGAACAAAACTTTTGAAAATAATGTTTCTAAATTAGACCCGAGTTCCAAACCCTTTTGGAAACTCACAAAAATTTTGAAAAAACCTCAAAAGCCAATTCCAGCGCTTAAAGAAGGTGATAAAATTTTGATCACAAATTTGGAAAAAGCTCAGAAACTTGCTAAGCAATTCGAGAGTTCCCATAATTTCAGTTTAAGTCTTACTAGTCCTATTGAGAATCAGGTTGCTCGGGATTTTCTGAATATTTTCTCTCGGGAAAATATTTTTGATGATTCCTGGGGGACTGATTTGGACGAAGTAAGGTCTATAACTAAAAAATTTCAAAATATGAAAGCTCCAGGTGATGATGGAATTTTCTATATCCTCATCAAAAAACTCCCAGAGAGTACCTTGTCTTTCCTGGTAAAATTATTTAACAGATGTTTCCATTTGGCATACTTTCCTGATAAATGGAAAAATGCAAAAGTTGTTCCAATTTTGAAGCCGGATAAAAATCCAGCTGAAGTTTCTAGCTACCGTCCAATAAGTTTGCTTTCTTCAATAAGTAAACTTTTTGAAAAGATAATTTTGAACAGAATGATGCTTCACATCAATACGAACTCAATTTTTGCAGATGAGCAGTTTGGATTTCGCCATGGGCATGCAACTACTCATCAACTCTTGAGAGTTACCAATTTAATTCGTTCAAACAAATCTGAAGGCCACTCAACTGGAGTTGCTCTTCTAGACATAGAAAAAGCATTCGACAGTGTTTGGCATGAAGGTTTTATTGCTAAATTGAAAAAGTTTAATTTTCCACTTTACATTATGAAATTAGTTCAAAATTATTTAACTGACAGAACTCTGCAGGTAAATTATCAAAATTCCAAATCTAATCGACTACCTGTTAGAGCAGGAGTTCCTCAGGGTAGCATTCTTGGGCCTATATTGTATAACATTTTCACTTCGGACCTCCCTGATTTGCCTCAGGGTTGCCACAAATCTTTGTTCGCTGATGACACAGGCATTTCCGCTAAAGGAAGAAGTCTTCGTGTTATTTGCAGCAGACTTCAGAAAAGTTTAGATATTTTCTCTTCTTATTTACAAAAATGGAAGATTTCTCCCAACGCTTCCAAAACTCAACTTATAATATTTCCACATAAGCCCAGGGCTTCCTTTTTGAAACCTAGTAGTAGTCACATAGTCACTATGAACGGAGTTCCAATTTCCTGGTCAAACCAAGTGAAATATCTTGGATTAGTACTTGACCATAAATTAACTTTTAAAGATCACATTGAGGGCATTCAAGCCAAATGTAACAAATATATAAAATGTTTGTATCCTCTTATTAACAGGAAATCCAAACTTTGCCTGACGAATAAACTTCTAATATTTAAACAAGTTTTTAGACCGGCCATGCTTTACGCTGTGCCAATATGGTCTAGTTGTTGCACTACCAGGAAAAAAGCACTTCAAAGGATTCAGAACAAAATTCTGAAGATGATTTTGAAGTTGCCTCCCTGGTACAGTACTACCGAAGTACATAGAATTTCGAATGTTGAGACTTTAGCACAAATGTCCAACAAAATAATTAATAATTTCCGGCAAAAATCGTTACAATCCTCAATTGCAACGATTAATTCCCTTTATACTTAGATAAGATTTAGTTTTAGTTATTTAGTTTTAAGCTATCAATTGTTATACTGACATGCAGGTTTAAAAAACCTGTTTAAAATACTGAATGGCCAAGACAGGAACAATGTAAAAACACTTAGATATATATCATAACAATTAAGGCTGGTAAGTTACTGTAGTAACTGGAGCACCTAGGTTAAAAATGAAATGTAATTTATTTTGAATTTGGAACAAATAAAGAGTTAAAAAAAAAAAAAAAAAAAAAAAGAGGTAGACTCCTGAGCTTTTCCACATTTATATCGCTGTGATGCAACTGTAAACTCTAGAGGGAATTTATATCTGTAACTGAAACCAGTTCGATTTTGTTTGCCAACCTGGTTAAAATGTCATATTTAATTATCTTAAAGATAAATCGTCCAGCTCAAATCTTTGTAGGGGTAAGAGGTGGGACCATCATCATCATCATCAACAACATATTGACATCATTTTAATACATAATCTTTTAATAATCCTACTAACCAACACCAAATAACTTATAAAAACGAGACAGTACATTAAATAATTATGCCCAAATTTAAAAATCATACAAATCTTGTAACAAGCGGTTACAATCCACTTTGATGTGATATTAAAATTAATGTTTTACTGTGTATAGAAAGGTAAATGAATTTGGAAGGCATTTACGGTAGAATCACTCCAGTTTTGGGTTCAAATTCGATCGAAATAGAGAGGTTAAATGCGGATTGTGCTTAGTAGAACGGAAATTGGATTAAAAACCCTACTTTTATTTGGCATTGATTGGCAAAGGATTTCAAAATTGACATCATCCCAAAGAGCGTTTCAAAACTTTGCTGTCATCCCTACTCAAACTGTCTCTCGTCGTCCCGTACAGAGCTCTTCTCTCCCGAACGATTAAAAAATCTCTTGCCGAAACGAACGAACACGTGCTACTGTTTTTCCACCTTGCTCTCAATCCCAAACGACACCGAAATGATTTTCCCTCACTTCTCACCTGCTCATTCTCACCAAATTTCCACAACCGGCAACACAGACGAACAATCTCCGGTTAGTTGGTCCTGCGAATCCGTTCCTGACCGCAGCGAGACCAGCAAAGCTAAACAGCGCGCGGCCACGACAGACGGCTAGAGATGTGCATTCACAACTCCGAGGAAATCAGTCGACTGCCGACGCTCGTGGAAAACGGTTTAGCTTTCGCACTTTTCCCGCGCGCTCTTGCATCGGACGATTTGGCGGTTGATCTCGTCGCGAATTCCCGTGGAGTGATGATTTTCTACGTTTAACGAAACATTTAGATAAAGGTGTTCGGCTACGGCTTTGGGGAATCAGATGTTGTGCTGCAGAGTGGTTTTGACGGTGCGTGAATGTTGGAGCTGATCCGTTCTGTTGCTGTGTCGGGTGTAGGAGAGTGCGGGAGATAATCTCGATTGGCGGAGATCAGTTGGGTGGGATAATTTTTTGAACTGGATGTTTTGTGGTGTTCCTGTGCAGTGGAAGGCGAATTTGCGATAGCTAAATGTTTATCTTGCCGTAAGAAGAAACTGCGGGCTATTTTCGGGAAACTATTCGATAAGGATTTTGCCGATCCTTATTCTTTGTGGCAAGACTGGTTTCTGGTTGAGTGAATTTTAATTGGTGGTTAAATGTTTGCTGGTGTTGATTGACGAAAAGAGGCAAACTCGAAGCGAGGGCAGTTAGTTTTTGTTTATTGGGTGCGGAGAAGCCAGGTGTCTTGGAAGAGCGGTTCGCGGAAAGAGCTGTAATTTAATCTCGAATTTGCTAATGGGATTAAGTGAAATGTGAAAAGTGCAATTTAACTTCGAACAGTTACTAGCGGGATGGTTTATCGAGTTCGATTTGTGTAAGTTTCTTCACGATAACCGGGAGCGTGGATTAAAGAATCTACAGACAACACCGCAATTTTTGTAGGTAAGTTCTTCGTTTTAAATAGAACGCAATATTTTCGGAATTTAAACTTTGGTATGCATTTATTTAAAATTAGTTTAGTTTAACATTTATGTACGCGAAGAAATCCGTTTTATTTTTTTTTCTACACCGTGTTAATATTCAAATTTTCGATATCTTTACGCAAAACAAATGGCGTGAACTTCAAATGTAAGTGTGGTTTTCTTACATCCTCTGCATCTTACTACAAATGTAATGACCGTTCTTTCAGCGTACAAGCAAGTTTTTCGGGATGATTTTCTAGCAGCAGTGCATTTGGGGAAACAAACTTGTTCCGAAAAAAAACCACGGCATATAGACGCAGTGTGAAAATGACATAAATAGGTCCAGCCAAAATACATTACCTTATAACAAATTCATAAACAAACGTTTGAGAAGGAATCCGGCTTCAAATGTGCAATGAAATATAAACTGTATTGCGGTACCATTAATTTGATTTTATTTGAACCGCCTTATGCACATGCACTCCTGTATAGACACATGCAAATTTCAATCGGTGCCGTGGAAGATAAAAAATTGCTGCGGGGTCCAAATAAAATCAACTTGATATTACCGCACAACAGCTTACATTTTATGAGCGCAGAACATTTTTAGGGGCTAGTGATAAAAAAAAAAAGTTTGGAAAGATTCCACCGGCAAATGAAAAAGGTTTTGCTCCCATCAAATACTTATTTTAGAAAACTAGTCGAAACTTTTAGAAAAATCCTAAATTCAGCGAAAACGAAAGATTTTTTAACTAGTTCGTTTATTTGGGAGGCTCAATCGCGTTGGCTTTACTGAGCCGATAGTTCATTGATCTTTGTTTGTAACAAAATTCACTTAATTCTATATCTAGTAGGAGTTGGGCCGAATACTCGCGGCTTACTCGAGGTTAGAGAGGTACATTGTCGAAGGATAGGATCAGGGGAGGAGTTTGGGGGTAAGGTTTCGTTGTCTCATCAGAGCGTTGTCGCCAGTATGAATGGTAGTGCGGTTCTAGTTACGTCTGGAGTTCGACCGGCTATGGTGACCAGTGGGCGACGATGAGACTCATCAAGACGGGGGGACAAGACAAACAAAAACTATTAAAGAGAGACAAAAGACAAAGGAATTAAATTCTTATACTAGACATTGGAAGAAACACATAAACCGACTGCATATAGCAGATATCGCGAGTTCCCAACACGTCTCATTATCCGTACATTGCCAAACTGCGTGATCAATGTCATCGTAACCGTTTCCACACCGACAGATGTATCTGTCTACGAGGTTTATTCTATTGAGATGAGCATCTAGCGAGTAGTGGTTGGACATAAGTCTACTCATCACGCGAATGAAGTCACGACTTAAGTCCAAGCCTTTAAACCACGCTCTCGAAGAAACATTAGGAATAATTGAATGTAACCACCGTCCAAGATTTCCATTGTCCCAATCGGTTTGCCAACTTGAAAGGGTACTCTGACGCACTAAATGGTAAAATTCATCGTGTGAAATTTGCCTATCATAAAATTCGCCTTCCTGCACGCCCACCTTTGCGAGAGAGTCCGCCTTCTCATTGCCTGGGATTGAGCAATGTGAGGGGACCCATACAAAGGTAATAATATATGATCTTTCGACCAGCACACGCATCTGCTCCCTTACCTTTGAAAGGAAATAAGATGAGTGCCTACCTTGTTTCATCGACCGAATAGCCTCAATCGAACTGAGACTATCCGAGAAGATGAAGTAATGGTCTGCGGGCATGTTGGAAATCATCCCCAATGCGAAGTTGATTGCTGCCAGCTCAGCAACAAAAACGGAACAAGGTTCCTGGAGTTTGCGGAAGGCGCTAGAGTTTTCATTGAAGACACCGAAGCCAGTGGATCCACTGAGACGAGACCCCTCTGTAAAATATCTGTTCACGCAATTGACGTGTTGGTACTTTTCAGTAAAAATACGCGGGATAATAATAGTTCGAAGTTGATCTGGAATCCCGTTAATCACTTGTTTCATGGACAGATCATATTCAATTGAGGAACTGCGATTGGTGAAGTGAGCACGGTCTGGAGTATAACAAGGAAGACACATATCCGACGATATGTAGTGGTGGTAGATTCTCATAAATCGAGTTTGTGTGTTCAGCCCAAGAATTTCTTCAAAATTTGCAATTATAAGTGTGTTTGTCACTTCGCATTTGATTACAAACCTAAAGATGTCCAGGGGAGTTTAGAGAACCTTTAAACAAATTTCGGAAACATCGCAGAAGTTCCAAGAAAATTTACGGAAGTCCAGAGAAGTTTTGGGATCTTTATTACAATCCCACCAATTTCAGGGCAGTTTCGTGAACATCATCAGGAGAATTGTGAATACTTATGCGTGGCTCCAAAAACTTCACGGAAGCATCTATAGCTTCAAAGCAGTCTTATTAACTTCACGGAAATTTTTAGGAATCCAATAGAAGTTACGAGGATTGAAAGTAAAATCCGAGAATCTCAAAGAAGTTTCATCAACATACTACTGGAACATTGGGGAAGTTCAGAAAATTTGAGGTAGATTGTGGGAAGTTTACAGCCCTTTACGACTAGCTCAGGGTTAAGGCCGGCGCATAATGGATAAGTTTTCAGGTTTTTTGACAGTTATCCCATGCATTATCTGTAAAAAACGGATGGCTGCTTCTATCTCCTGCAATGATGGAGCTTCAGTGTTGACGCGAGTAACGCGCCTCACCCTTGGCGGATCATGCCAAGATGTTGATGGTTGGTTGACCGTTGAAACTTCGAGAAGTTGTTCAAAGAGCTCAAACCAACGTTTCAACTGGTCAGTGGGGTCGATGAGCAACTGTCCAGTCGCGTCTTTCACAGGCATCCTTCGGTTCATCCTTGCCCCGCTCAGGCGTCGTGAAACATCATAGAATAGGTGGATATCGCCAGTTGCTGCGGCTCTCTCCCCTTTATCAACCAGAGAGTCCACCCACGCTCGCTTGTCCCGTATATAGGAACGGTTAACTTTCCTCTCTAGAGCCGAATACCGCTGACGGGCCTCGTTCTTGGCTCCTCGGGTCCTTGCTCGCTCTATCGTGGTTTTTGCTTCTCTCCGCTCCTCGATCTTTCTCCAGGTTTCATCGGTGATCCACACATCGGTTCCAAGCAATGGCAAGCAGGGGCAGACCCGCCGGTCATCACCAGGCTGGTAACCTCCTTGGCGTCCGTTCCTCCACTCCACGACCGTGTGTAGTCACCGAAATGGCGAAGGGGACTCGGCTGACTACCTGCACCTGGGGTTGAATCCGAACGGATGACCAGGAGGGCGTCTATTCCCGCAAAAGGAGGCTTGCTTGACCTTAACCAAGTTCCTGTAGCCCGTCCGTCGATGGTGAGGCTCTTCGAGGTTGGAGTTCCCACGTGGTCCACTCAATGGAACGTCAACGGTCCGACCAAGGGCAACCTTGATCTCGACTTCTCTGGTCGATCTGCTTTCCGTCTGGTACATACGGTTCCGCCACGGTCCAGATAGTCCCACGTGGTCTTTTCGGCCAGACAAAGTTCCGGGCTTCACTGGCTCCTCCCACAGGTTGCTTCGGCCGACAAAGGCTTGCGGCTACACTGGCACTTCCCGCGTGGCAAAACTTCAGCCCAATCTGGGCTTGGCACTCCTCTTCCGGCTCCACGAACTTGGCTCAGCCGTCACGACCCGTTGGCCTTTTTCCGGACACTTCCACCTCAATCGACTCCGATCACACCACCCGGACGTTTGGTTTATTTTTTATTTTTTTTCCACTAATCAAACTTCTCCAAAAAGCGTCTCGTTCGTTTGATCGTCGCGTACTTTCTGCCGACCTCCGCTTTTCCTAGCCCATAGTCCTCTCCAGGCGGGTTTGTATTGGTGCGATTTGCGTGTGTTAGTGAAATGAATTTTTTTGTTAGCTGTGCGAATTTTTTTGTTTGCTGTAAGAACTGTCATTCTAAAGTAAAAATAAACAACAAAACGAAAACAAACCCTACGCTGCACGGTAACAGTCAACTACTATAGTTCGTGTGATCCTGCTTGGAGAACTCAATATCTCCTTCTTTCTGTCGTTTCACTCTCTCTCTCTTTCACTCTCACTTGCTGGTTGACAGGCGGAAATAGACAAACGTTCCGATTTCGCCCGTTGGAGATGTCAACTGTGCTTTGCGTTTGCGCACGGTGGGTTGATTAGTAGTGTTTTTTTGGTTTAAAATTTAGTGCCGACTTTGCCGTCTTTTGTTTTTATTTACAGTGAGCACAAAGGACAAATGACGCAAGCGCGGTTTATGCTTGTCCAATGGCTTTATTTTTGTACTTAATGCTTTTGACTACATGCAAAGCCTTACAAATAATTGTATACATTTGCTGGTCAACTAATTAACTGGGTTTAAATATTTATGTTAAACATAAATTAACAAACAAAAACAAGATAAACTGGCAAAAAGAATATAATACTAAACACAGAAACTTAACTAACCGATGAGCCTACCTTAAAGTTTTGAATTTATAACTAAACTAGCTACCTACAGTTAAATATCATATTCGCAAAAACTGTACATCGCCAATCGACTTCAAAGCCATTGTTGGCGGTGATTGACCGGTAACAGCCTAAGGAACTACCACTCACTGTAGCAAGAAAACTGTCGATAGACTGTGGATCAAGATTAATAACCTCTAATTGTACTCAACCTGCCATAGTATGAAGGGCCATAAACGGTTTGGGTGAATCCGTGCACAACATCGCCCACGTGCAACTACGGGATAGATGAGAATCTCCTTCCAACAACAGGATCATACAACTGGTCAAAAAACAGGCCATCCATCAGGAGGATGTCCCAATGAGTGGGGAGGAGAGTCCGCTCTCTATTCACGAAATGTTAAAGACAGGGAGTTGGCATTTCCACTCTCCCCAACCATTTCGCTTCAATCGGGTGCTTTTGTGGACCCTCTCGTACTCAGCATTTCCAGAACAACATGTGAAAAGGGCATACAAGCTTTTT